AGGGGGAGAGGGGAAGGGAGATGGAGAGGAGGAGAGAGAGGGAGAGGGAGAAAGGAAGAGAGAGGGAGATGGAGAGGGAAGGAGAGAGAGGGGGAGAGGGAGAGAGGGAAAGAGAGAGGGAGAGAGAAAGGGGGAGAGGGGGAGGAAGATGGAGAGGGGGAAAGAGAGGGGGAGAGAGAGGGTAGGGGAGAGACAGAAATAGGCAGGGAGAAGGAGACATGTCAAATACAGAAGAACCAGTTCTCATTCTGTCTCTTTTGAGAATGCGCGCTTCTTCCTTACAAACAGAACTAAATCATCATGCAGCAGGGTATCTAAAGATCCTGCTCTAGCTGCTCATTAATAAAATAGACCTGGCTTTCTTTTTGATTTTAGTAGGCCCCTTTATCAAAGGAAGGAGCCCTGGAGAGATTTGAGGGCACCTGAAGCCCCTTCATCTTCAAAGATGTTTTCTTCCAGCCAAGTTTTTAAAAAGCTTCAGGCACACATACAGAGACTGACGCAGAAATAGCCAGAAGACATCTCACATCTATTTTAAAACAGGTTACAGTTTCATCCTCCATTTCTGCCAAGGTTATATGCTAAGAGCTGTATAACCGGACCAAATAGGTTTGTATTTTAGAGGTTGCTCCTCCACTTTCTTTGCAAAATCCAAACAGTAATTCTTCTCTAGTATTCAAGGTGTCAAAAAGAAAAGAAAAAAGGAGGAGGATGTGTGAGCGGTAGCTTGGGTTTCTGATCCCAAATTTCATCATCCCCACAGTGGTTTTGGGACAAGGTTGTCTTCAGGACAAATGCCAACCCCTTCAGGTCAGGAACAACTAGTGAAACTCTCATTTAATTTTACAGGGAATAACAATGGAATTCTGAATGCCTGACATTTCTCTCTCCAGCACATTTATACCAAAAGGAATCAAGGTGAAGCAACCTTGAGTTTTGTCCTAACCCTCCCCTGTCGTTCTGGGGAAAGGTGATGTGTTCCTACCTTCTTTATAGCTACTTCAAAGTCTGCCTCTTTCATAAATACATGCCAGTTGCAAAGTGCCTGAATTTTGATTGCATGACTATGGGGAGACTGCAACGGTTGTAAGTGTGAAAAATGTTACTTTTCAGTGCTTTTGTCACTTGGGATGGTCATTAAATGAACGGTTGTAAGTTGAGAACTACCTGTATCGGTTTCCTGGAGACCCTTTCTTTCTCAGACTCATGGAGTTCTTTGGTGTATAAAAGTCTGCATAAGCTTTGAAAACAGTTCAGAACAACTGAGTAACCCAACTTATTTCAGGAACTGAGTTGTTCTAGTGATTGAGACTCTTAATGAAATACTAGTTTTAAAAAAAATATTTCAAGTGCACATGCAGCATACAGTAGTCCTCAGCTTACAATAATTTGTTTAATGACTGTTTGAAGCTAAAACAGTACTGAAAAAGAGAGTTATGACTTTTTCACACATGATGATTGTAGCATTCCCATAGTCACATAATCAAAATTCAGATACTCATCCTATTTATGACGATTGCAGTGTCCTGGGGTCATGTGATCACTTCTGTAACCTTCTGACATGTAAAATCAATGGGGGATTCATGAACAAACACGTTATTAATTTAACAACTTCAATGATTCACTTAATAACTGTGGCAAAAAAGGTCGTAAAATGGGGCAAACCTCACTTAAATATCTCAGTTGGCATTTTTGGCCTCAGTTGTGGTCATAAGTCAAGGACTACCTGAAGTAGACAAAGTTTGAGAATATGACCAGCTCCACTTCATGTAGATAGCCATTTGCAAAGCCGTAGCGTAATCATATGGCCACGGGCGTGTTGCAATGCTTGCAATTTTGCCTTCAAACTGTCGCTAAACTAATGGCTGCTAAGCAAAGACTACTTCTATGGGTCATGGAGAACCAGTTTAGTGTAGTGGATAGGACATTAGGCCAGAAATGGGAAGTTCTGAGTTCTAGTCCTGACTTGGGCACAAAGTCAGGTGGTTGACCTTGGGCCAGTCACACTCTTTCACCCCTAGGAAAGAGGCAATGGAAAATTACTTCCAAAATCTTTCCAGGAAAACTGCAGGGGTTTTTCCAGGCAGTCGCCAAGAAGTCCAAAATTTACTCAGAGGGTGTGTGTGTTTGTGTGTTTGTGTGTGTTTGTGTCTAGCCACTGCATTCATATCTGATACAAGACTACAGAATACATGTTATCAAAGAGATTTTACGAATTTTGAATATGTAATTGGAAAGTACATCAAAGCATTTTATTCCAGCTCTAATGCTATATAATAAAAGGGATGCGGAGGCTTCTATGGAGGAAAGTCTCCCTTAGAATCATAACATTATCTCCTGAGTTGTGATAGGATTGAGATCAATGTTCAAATTGTGTGTTTAGAACAGTGATTGCTCTGAGACTGGTTTGCTTAACATCCGAAAGCTCTGTGGCTGTTTCCAAATCTTTTCCAGTCCTCTTTACAGAATGAAATAAAAACGCTTTCAAACAACAATTAATCTGCAATGAGGTGTAAGGTTTCTCTCTCTCTTAAATCTTCGTGTCTGTATAAATATAATCCTTCTTGCAATGAAAATAGTAGAACATTTCTATTGGTGAAAATAATTTTTCTTTTGTAAAGTAAAAGAAACACCCTTCCCATTTAAAAAAAGAAAAAAAGAAAAAACTTTTATTACCTGACGATGCAGCCAGGCTGTACTCTCATCCTCATGTTTCTGAAATGAAAAAACATAATTAAAGTATTATGCCATACTTTGCGTTCATTATATTTTGCTCATCAGTGCAGAAAGCAGTTTGACTCACTTCCAACCGTGAATGAGCAAAAAAAGATGAAACATCCGAGCAGCCTTTAAAGGAAGGCTTTAAAATGACACCCAAACAACTCTTGGTTTTGACTCTTGTTAAACTAGTGAACGCATTTACAGCTCAGCAGTTATCCATGGAGATATTTATTTATTTAAAACATTGACACAGCCACCTACCTTATAAAAACTCAGGGCAGCTCCTAATCAAAAATTAAAATAACGTAAAAGCCACATTGCAACCAAAGGCATAAAGACTAAAACCCAGCGCCAAGTCTATCTTATGACGCACACTCACATCGTTTTATCTCAGTACTTGGGGGGCAAATTGGGTCTTTAAGGCTTGACAGACGGCGAGGAGGGCAGGGGTCTGCCTAACATTAACGTGGCAAAGTGGATTTTTTAATTTTTAAAATTTTTTATTGAACAAAAACATTAAAAACAATAAATGTGATGCAATTGTCCTGACAAACCTGTTTGTCATACATATCTATTGTGGATAGCATATAATACAAATTTACATAATATACACTAATTACACTAATTTTCCATATTTCTAATCTATTACCTTAACATCCTTATTTTAATTTTAAGTCCTTCCTTTTTCCCCACCATTGATAAAATTTGTCCCATATTTTATAGTATTCAGTCTCGTCCTTATTTTTTATTTCCAATGTTAGTTTATCAATTTCAGCACATGTCCATATCTTTTTAATTATCTTAGTTTCATTGGCAATTTCCTTAACTTTCTACTTTTGGGCATCTTGCTGCCGTGATTATGTGTATTATTAGATACAGTAGTTCCTTACTGTGTCTCTCTGTATTAATTCCCAGCAAAAAAAATAAATAAATCCGGTTATACTCAAGTTTAATCTCACCAATTTCTTCTAACCAACTTTGAATTTTATGCGAGAATTCCAGGGCTTTCTTACAAGTCCACCATATATGATAATACGATCCATTTTCCTGGGAGCATTGCCAACAAATAGGGGATAAATTTGGATACCTTTTAGCTAATTTTGTTGGTGGGATTTATTTGATTGATTGTATGCTCAGTCATCTTGAGATTTAAAACGAAAAAGCAGCCTTCATTTACTGGAAGAAAAATAATGCAAATATATACCTTTGTGCAGACACCTGTAGTTGCATCACAGAGAGTCAGAATGGAAAAGTTCTGTGCTCTATTTAGCCAGTTGACTGCAATCTTGGTGCTGGTTGCCCACTTCACCATGGTTATATAATAATCCCTGAAAAACAAACCGGGGTATTTTTTAAACTTTTTTTTTAAATCCCCACCTTTATTAATAACTCAAGACAGCAAACGTACCCAATGCCCTATTCTTTCCTCCTCTTATTTTACCCAGAACAACAACCCTGTGAAGTGGGCTGAGCTGAGAGAAAGTGACCAGCCCAAAGTCACCCAGCTGGTTTGTATGCCTAAGGCAAGACTAGAACTTACCAACTCCTGGTTTCTAGCTGGGTGTCTTAACCAGTTGACCTAACTAGCTCCCTTCATTGAAAAGCTTCCATGGGAATGTAAGGAAGTTGATCAAAGAGAAAGCCAGATGCACTAACTTTGTTCCAACAAGGAATGGTCTACAAAGATCACGGCACGGATGGCCTTCAGGGTCCATCCCTAACCATGAAGGTGGATATATGAAGTATTTCAAGAGGTTGTTACAAGCCCTTCTCACTGTTATTTGTGTTATAAGGTTTCACACAAGGAGTGGAACTTTGATCCTCACAATGCGCGTTGTTGGACAGACACCTATGCTCTGAACTGGGTTCTCTTATCTCCATGTATGTATGTCTATGATAACCCTATAGGACCATCGCTTTTCCACAAACATTGGTGAGATGATAAATTGGTTAGTTTTACTGTAAAGCAGTATTTTACAACCATGGCAACTTTAAGAGAGATGGACTTCACCTCTCTGCTAGCTGTAGAATCCAGGGAGTTACACTGCTGTACACACTTGTGTAAACCACGAAGGTGTACGATACAAATCCACTGAAAAATTATATACTGTCCATTTCCCTTATGCCATCAAAGCTGAGAGATACAGATATTCCAGGATGCCATACCATACTACATACGTTTTCCATGACTTTCATATACAGACACAGACACACACTATATACCTGAACAATCATGTAACAGAACCTCTGGGCGTTGAATTGTATACCAATCAAATCAAATCAAACAATAAAAATACATACAGTGGTACCAAAGTTATTTAGTTCCAGGAGGCACAAAGAGCACCAAAAATGATGAAAACCAAACAAACTTTTCCCATAAGGAATAATATAGTAAGTTGCAAGGTTGCTGACACTGACAAATTCTAGTTTGTGAGCTGAGCACCAAACAAATGAGCAGCAGCACAAATTTTCATGTTAAAATGTATTGAGTTCCAAGGTACCACTGTGTCTGTATCAGAGGTGGTATTCAGCAGATTCTGACCAGTTCTGGAGAACCGGTAGCAGAAATTTTGAGTAGTTTGGAGAACCGGCAAATACCTTCTCTGATTGGCCCTGCCTCCATCTATTCTCTGCCTCCCGAGTCCCAGCTGATAGGCTGGGCCTTCTTTTGTTGCCCTGCACAGGAGAACGGAGCTGGAAAGTAGGTTAGTGGGATGGGGTGGGAATGGAGATTTTGCAATAACCTTCCTCCAGGAGTGGGGAGGGAATGGGGATTTTACAGAATCCTTTCCCTGCCACGTCCACCAAGCCACATCAGGCCACATCCACAGAACCGGTAGTAAAAAAAATTTGGAATCCCACCACTGATCTGTATCTCTCTGCTTTGACAGTTTAAGATAATTTTCCCAGCCATGTCAATTTCCAGATGTAATGGACTTCAACTTTCCAGAATTCTGCTTAATGACCATGCTGGCTGTGGAATTCCAGAAGTTGAAATCCACACATGTGAAAATTGCCGTATTTGGGGAAAAACTGGTGTAAGAGAAGGCAGATTATATGTTTCCTTTGGGTAACTTCTTGTCTATTCCTTCTTGTAACCAGCAAGCAGCAGGTTAACTCCTAAGGCTAATATAGTTTATAAAATCGTCTGAAGTGCGAGTCTATGAAACCAGTTCCTAGTAGAGGGTTTGAATCCCACAGTTTAACACCCTGACCACTCACAACTACAAACCCCATTTGTAGAGATCATGTGACCAATGTACCTGAAAATACCCTCTACAAATTGAATTGGAAACAAGATAAAATCAGGAGTGGCTGGTCTCATGAGTGCTTTCTCTTGCAGAGCTTATAGACACACACACTGATGACGTTACCTAATTGGGTAGCAAAATGTCTGCAAGAAAACAACCAAGCTCAGACAGCCTGAGATGGAACCAAGTTCAATTCCGTTCAGCTTTTCCCTACTTATAACTGTCCCTAGCAGGATTCCCACGACTCTTTTACTATGCAACATTACATAATAGTCACTCCTTACACTTGTCTTTTATCTCCTCTATTATATTTCCTTTTGTTTTGCAAAAGGGAGAACATTATAATGTTACATGCTAAATAAATAATTGCTGCACTCAGGGGGATAAGCAAGTAACATCTTTATGATTTCCCCTATCGTCGTACAATGTGAAGTAACAAAACGCATGTTGCCAGTAAACAGCGGATGCTTCTAGACTTGCAATGCCACTGTTAATTCAGATCAGCTTTGTGCAAAACTCAGGTTCAAAAGGCTAATATTACCTCCATCTCTTTGTGTCTCTCTTTCTCTATGTCTCTGTGTCCCTTTCTCTCTATCTCTGTCTCTCTTTCTGTCTCTCTCTCTCTCTCTGTCTCTCTCTATTTCTCTTACTCTCTCTGTGTCTCTTTTTCTCTCTATCACAGTCTCTTTGTCTGTCTCTGTGTCTTTATTTTTCTTTCTCTATTTTTCTTTCTCTCTGTCTCTGTCTCTCTGTGTGTCTCTATTTCTCTTTCTCTGTCTGCCTGTCTTTCTGTCTCTATCTCTCTAAATAATTATGGGTTATGAGTCACTTATTTCAATGATCAACTTTGAATAGTCACTAAAAAAAAGGATGTGGATGGATGACTACTGCACTTTTTTACTCTGGTTTTCCTCTACAATAAGAAGATTGGGCTGAAGAGAGAACGATCAGCCCCAAATCACTAAATATCTGATTTAAATGCTCCAGAGAGTTATAAACACAGCACAAAAAATCATCGGTTGCTCTCTTTTTTCTTTGGAAGAGATTGCGAAGACCAGACTCTTCTCTAGAGCACTAAAAATCTCCACAGACCGTTCTCATCCTGGACATTCCTATTTTGAACTGTTACCATCAGGGAGGCATTATAGGTGTCTTAAAATGAGGACTAACAGACTGAGAAACAGTTTTTTTCCCCCAAGGAAATAATGGTCTTGGATCAAACAATGCATATGTGATTTAGCCCTATGTATATAGTGGCATTTTAAAACTATCTATCTTACTATATGTTTTAGATAGGTTTTAGACTAGGTTTTTAATTATTATTTTAATTTTTAAATATTCTGTAGAGTGATTGTGATGTGGTGTTTGGGACACTGTGCTGGAGTAGCTTTCAAATTTATTGTATTTATAGAATGCAATGACAATAAAGGTATTCTATTCTATTCTGTTCTAAATCTATCTACTCCAACACCTGAATCATCATGGTGATTCTCGATACACTTTAGTCTGCAATGAGTCACTTACAACCCCCTTGAGTTTTTCTAATCACCTCTAGCCAAAGTACAGAAGCCCATGGAGACCAATAAAAAGCCTTAATAAGCTACAGCAGATCACAAGAGATGAAGGTGTATAAAAGGTTCCTTTAGCAGCTAAAGAAGTGATCAGGTATCCTGATTATAAAAAGATAGTCCCTTATTTGAAATCCAGGTCTGGTATAAAAATAAAAAGTTTTTTTCTTAAAGGGAGAAACCCAGAATCTTGACGTCTCTTAGCTGTTAATATCTAATCTGCCAGTGGAACAGTCCTTCGAAAGTGACCTGGTCAATTTTCTTATTGCAGTAAGACAATGCCTTCTTAAATGATATTATTTTGGCTTTGTCCGCCTCAGAAATTCCACCTCACAAAGGACGTTCAAACTAGAGCCAGAATGCAAGAGTTTTACTTGGTGTTAGGCTTTACTGTAATACCTGAGGCCGAATATGGGCAGATTTCCTGCCTACAACTGGAGAAGAGGGGTTTGCAGTGGTGGCATGCTACCAGTTTGGCCCGGTTCAGCCAAACTGGTAGCAAAAATTCCTACCAGTTCGGCTGAACCGGTAGTTTAAAAAAAGCCTCCGATGATCAGCTGAGACAGAAGAGAAAAGCGCAGGATTGGTCCTCCCACCCACCCCTGAGCTTTTCTCTTCTTTATCCTTTCAGCTGATTGGCACTGCAGGCCTCAGAGCGATCACTGAATTGATAGCGGAACAGGTAGGATCCCACTGCTGGCGGGTTTATAATGAACAAAAGAGCCTCTCAACAGGAAGACTGACAAACTATGATCATATTCAGGTGGAAGCTGCAGGTCAAAGCCATCTTTAAATTATCATACAATAGCTTTTCATAATGTGTACAGTTCATACAATTTTTATGAGTTCATTTGCCGTCTATAAAATATGCATAAGGAGCCATTGCTCTCATCGGGATTAATGTGCTGCCTTGCTGGAGAGAAAAACTCCTGCGTATCGGCTGTGCACACAAAAGAGTCAGAAATTGAGTAAGGAAGATGAGAAATAATAAACAAGATTCTGCAGCTGTCAGCAAGGGTTAGCCCAAGAATTCAGCTGCAGCTTGGACGATAGAATATACAGAATACGATCGTTCGCCAAAGAGATAGAAATGGGCAGAAAAACACAATGCCACACTACAGGTTGGACAGGTTAAATATTCCCCCTTGCCCCAAATTCACCGCCAGAATGAAACAATTTGGTGCTTCCTTGATTAGGCTTCTGTTTACAGTTTGATTGTTTGTCTAGTGTTATTCTTGTTATTAATCTCTGCTTATCTGGGTGTTGATTGCTGGTGAGAAGGTGTTTTAAGTCTTTTCATTTCCTTTTTAGCTTTTTTATGTCTGTAGGCCAATGTATTGGGCAGTGTCAAGCTCCGTAGTTTAGTGGACATAGTCTAGATCAGGGGTCGCCAAACTTTTGGACCTCAGGGATCACCAAATTCATAATTTAAAATCCCGGGGACCACTAATATGAATTTTGACTGAGAGTGGCTTGCTGACATTGGTGGGAGAGGGGGAGAGAGAGAGAGATATCTGATCTAACCTCTCTCCCTCCCTCCCTCCCTCTCTCTCTCTCTCTCTCTCTCTCTCACGCACACACACACACAAACACACAGAGGCAACGGTGGTATTCAAATTTCTTAACAACTGGTTCTGTGGGTGAGGCCTAATTTGTGGGTGTGGCTTGGTGGTCATGTGACTGGCTAGGCATGGCTTGTATGTAATATTATAAGTATTTATGTAAATATTGAATTTTTTATAAAAAAAGAACAACTTTTACCCAAAACCAGGCAAAGCAGGCAGGCAGATTGAGTTGCTCACAGAATCACAGATTCATTCAGAGATCTATCTATCTGCCACCAGCTACCTGAGTCTGCCACATAAAATTTGCTGGCAAGCAAACTCACAAAATTAACTTACAACACACCATGTATGTAAATATTGAATTTTTTTATTAAAAAAGAGCAACTTTTACCCAAAATCAGGCAAAGCGGGCAGGCAGATTGAGTTGCTCACAGAATCATTCAGAAATCTATCTATCTGCAATTGGCTACCTGAGTCTGTCACATAAAATTTGCTTGCAGTGAGTCTGCACTGAATAATAGAAGCTTCAGTCCCAAGGAAGGTTCGGCTCTTACTAATCTTAAAAGTAGAGCCAAAGATCTAAAGACTAGCTAGAAAGCAAGAATTTCCTGCTTTCTAGCTAATCTAAATCTTCCGGCACAACAGTACAGCTGATGGTCGGGGAAAAAAAAGGAAAAATAGCAACTTAGCAGGCAAGTTTGCCAGGTAAGGAGCGAGTAAGCGAGGAGGGTTCCCGCAGGCCATGTGGGCAGCACAGCCTTGTGTTCCTGCGCAGCCTGGATTAATTGCTTGGGCGGGGGGAGTGCTCTGGGGGTGACATTTCTCTGCGGACCACCAAAATTTTCTCACGGATCACCAGTTGTCCCCGGCTCACCAGTTGGCAACTGCTGGTCTAGATCAGGGGTCTCCAACCTTAATAACTTTAAGCCTGGAAGACCAGAATTCTGGGAGTTGAAGTCCTCCATGCTTAAAATTGCCAAGGTTGGAGACCCCTGCTCTAGATATCATATTTCTTGCATGCCAGGCCCC